TGAAAAGAGAAGAGTAAGAAAAAAAAAAGCAAAAAAAAAAAAAAAAGAAGAAGAAGATGAAAGACCACCTCCAGGGGTAGTAGACCCAAAGAAGGCTGTCTGCTGCCCACACTAAGGCATGCGAGCGTAGGGAAGATGCGTCTCCGGAATAATCTGGAAGCAGCGTGGCCAGGCTTGCGTCCTGCGCTAGGAAGTGAGAAGCGGATAAAATACTGCGAGGGATGGCACGCAGAGAAAGACCGAGAGACAAGGCCGCCCGGAGACAGCATCCCGTCGAATAGCACAGGCGGTTATAACCCCGCCAGGGGGAACGGGGCCCTACTCGGCCCAGGACTTGGACAGTCTCAATCGAAAACACATCATCCGTCATCACTCCTCTGTCGGCCTTCTCTTCCGTCCCAATAAAAAATAACTGATAATCGGCGGGATTTCGTTATGGAATCACTTAACTTTACTCCGTATTCCCTCGAGAGGGAACACCGATGGAGAAGATGCCGACGGTGGCCCCCCTTGCAACGCTGTAAGCCGCAAGCCGGGCACAAGCTCATTCGCTCCCGGAAGGCCGTGATGTCCGGGTTGGTGGCCCCAGGAACAAACACTTAACAACCCTGAAGTTGTTTCTTCTTGCGGACTTATGCAGCGTTTTTGTTTTAAAAAAGGGGGGGGGGGGGGGGGGGGGGGGTTCCACTCAAATCCCGTACGGCGGGAAGAAAGGGATCAAAAGAGAAGAAAAAGGCCACGAGTGAGAAGAGAAGCCAAGCGATGCTTCCGTGATTGAGAGAGCGAGGGGGCCAGAGTGGGATGAGCATGGGATGGATGGACATGGCGGTCTCTCTGGTCTCACATATTTTGTATTATCACTCAGACGAGGATTGGTGATGGTTGAGTGATTACATGGGGCGCCAACTATATCATCGCGCAGGTTGACGACGGAACTGCACAGCGACGCAATCAACTAGCCCAGGGACCTGGCGAGGCGGCTTGCAAACACAACCGGCGCTTCATCGAATAAGAACAAGGCAGTCGCATTCAGTTATCAATCTCACAGCGTCGGAATTGATGTTGGCCATCAAGCGAGGCCAGCAAGGCAGGGCAAACCCCCCAGGGACAACCCAACACAAAGCAATGCAGCAGCAGAGACGGACGCCTTAGGCGAGAGACATTGCAAGCGGATCCCTGGGTTAGCCGTGGCATGGCTCTGCTTGCCTGTCTTCTCTCTCTCTCTCTCTCTCTCGCTGCCTTTGTCATGCCAGAGCCTGTGGTGCATCAGCTCAGCTCAGCTCAGCTCAGCGAGTCTCTTCGGGCGATAGGAAGGATGCAATATCTCGTACGTAACATTTTCCATGTGCTCTCCATGTCCAGCACAGTCCAGGCCAGGCCAGAAATGTCTTTGCTCTGTAATAATGCTGCAAAAGCAAGCAAGCCCATGGACCTGAATGGCTACCGTTGCCCCCTTTGACCGTTGTTCCCTTTTCTCTCTGACTTTTTGCTTTCCTTCTCCCTTCTCTCTCTCTCTCCACGGCTCCAGCCGAAGCCATCAGCCTGTTCAAAGCGGCCGAATAATAGTAGCTCCGTTAGCGAGTTGCTTTTCTTTCTTCTCTTCCCAGTAGCTGGGACGAGCCTTGAGTCGAGGCCGATGGCTGCCGGCGAATATAGGGAGACGGTGACAAGCTTCCATCGTGGATGTAGTTCAACAGATCAGATCGGATCCCTAATTGACTTTTGGCTAGCCACCCTGCTGTATATCTAATGGATTTGTGTTTGACCAGTCTGCTGCCTCTCAGATGCCTGTGTATATAGATCAAGGTAGCCTGCGCTCAGACGCCAGCATCAGTCTCAGGCTGCCCCAGCCTCCAACAGCCGGTTATTACTTGAGCCTGCCAGCTGCCTTTTCGGATATTCAACTAAGTCCTCCGTACAGGCAGATGTCTTGGTGAGATCCTGCGAGGGCTGCCATTATAGGGATCGTCATATACATACTCTTGAGCTGGCCGTGTCATGATGATCGCCCTTGGCTGGCTGGATCGAAGCAGGCTCGAATCTCTGCACGAATAATGTACAAACGTATCAAACTCCCTAGCTCTGTAGAACATCCGTCTGTCCAGGCATTCTGCCTGAACTCTGGCCATCTTTTGCTCGTCTTGGTTTGGGTTGTTGTTGTTGTTGTTGTTGTTTACAATCCGTACGCATATCTCAAAGCAGGGCCTGCTTCATGTCCATCTTCCCTCCAGCTCCACGTCCCTGGCGAGCTGCTACTTGCTGCCGATAATGACGACGGTGCTGCATGCCAGGCATCCCTCAGACCTCAGCATCCTACAACCATCCCTCTTGTCACGTCATATCTGCCACTCTGTCAGCTGTGCACCGTTGCCCTGCATACTCGGTCTACACATGTAATACACACATACATGATATTAGAGCAGCCGATCAATACTTCAAGAGGCTCAAAAAAAAGGAATAAAGAGGGTCTCCTCTCTTCCCCATGCCGGGAGAACGGATGCTGAGCGAGCTTGAACGCCGGCCGCTTCCTTCTCTGGGCAGAAGGGAAGGGATAGACAGCAGCGTCCAGATTACGCGTTCATGAGGAATCTTTATTCTTGTCAGTCTGCACAGCCAGCGAGAGGAGACAGAGACGCCTGAGATGGAGATATACAAAAAAGGGCGGAGGACGAATTAAAGTACCTAAAACACGGGAGCCAGCTGGCTTCCGAGACGCCAACATGTAGCATCGGCGCATGGATCCGTAGTCATGATGCAATATTATGGGGAAAATAGAGGGCTGGCGGAGAGAGTGATGAACCGTTCAAATAAACTGAAATTAAATATCAGATCGTCTCCAGCTGGTAAGTAAACTTGCCAACTAAATAGTTATTTGGTTACAAAAAAAAAAAAAAAAAAGAGCTATCAAAATAAAACCAGATACAAGTTGCAATTGCAAAATGCAAAACACACACTCAAAACGTCAAATCTCCAAGCAGGAGAACGCCAGGACGAGCAGAAACAGCATGGTCAAATCTCCTTCGAACCATCGGCAGATGACCAGCCGTCTATGCAAGGCACTCCAGGACTTCTAGGATCGTTGTTTTGTTTTGTTTCTGGCCAGAGAGGGGAGACACTAGCATGGAGTGCCCATGATGCATCCGGTTCGATGACAAACACCCCCTAGGATCTTGGAGATCATATCAGCATCGCCGTTATTGATATGGGGAAGCCGTTTTAGTTAGCTGCTATCTTTTTCATCCTTTTTGTCTCTTCGGGTGTTTCCTGCGTTAACAAACTAGCTAATAATTTGATAGTTAAGTTGCTGCCAAAAAAAAAAGGGGGGGGGGGGGGGGGGGGTTCCTGGAAAATATCAGCCCATCGTAAGTTAAGCCCTGCAAAATTATATATAATAATAACTGGACAATCTTATGACTGTACAGAGGCCTCCTTTGACCCGGCGCCGGCGCGAGCCCAAGCAGTGAGAAGCCGAGAGAAGCGCTCGTTGTTGCCCAAGGCCGAGTCGCTGATAGTTTAGCTGTACTAACGAGGCCAACCTACATCTTTAACTGAACGGGCAGCGCAGCCACAGCCAGCAGGCCGAGCAGACGGGCCAGGTGACAGGGACGCCATGATGGAGAAAAAGCAGCTGAAAGAGCCCGCTGCTTGTAACTGCTACTGGTCAGCCAGCGTCGAGCTGTGAGGCGCTCCCCTAGACGGTTACCGAGCGAACGAACAGGGCCGTTGGGGGGGTATACTCGGCCAACTCGATCGATGACGGGTAGCTCTCCATGTGTTTCTTCTCCTGCCTCTCGGCCCTAGCTGGTTTCATCAGCTTAACGGCCACGATGGGCGCGGGAGGGCTGCTCGATCTGATTCTAATTTACATGTATTTTTGCAAGCTGGCCGGCTCAGGATATCTGCTGAGAGGCAACAACTCCGAACGACCTTCTACATACGCCGGGCCCGAGGATGAAACCCGAGGGGAAACAGATGGAAGACGAAGCTGATTCCTTAATCTAAGCCCTTGCTCCAACTAGACTCGTTACCGGAGACTTCTTTCACGCAATACATCCATTGCGAGCTAGACGAGGGCAAGGCTCGCGTAACGGGCGTCTGCACCAGAGAAGCATATATATTATAGAAAGGCGAGAAGGAGAACGAACGCCATCGCCGACCCCGTTAGCTCGTTGACTACGGAGCAACTACTGGACGGCCTAAATGGACTATATCTACCTATAAAACAAACCAGGGATATATTCCTTTGACAGTCGCGAGCACATCGAGGAAAAATCCAACTCTCACGTGGCTCTCAGGTTTTGAGCATATGAAAAAATTGTCATGTGAAGAGGAGCAAGAAGGAGAAGAAGACGAGAGGACGAGGTGGCTGGGGGATAGCGAGCGGACCGCAGCGTTTGCTCCTCATTCTCTGCTCTTTATTTTCAGGTTCACTTTTTTCTCTCGGACGATAAGGCCGAGAAACGACGGTTCTTCAACGCAGGGAAAAGCAAAGAAAGGGGGGGGGGGGGGACACACAGAGCAGCCTGAGCGCGTGGCCAGTGTCAGCGGTGAACAGGAAGCAAATTGAAAAAGAAAAAAAAAAAAAAAAAAAGAAGGGCAGCATCAGAAGAATGTACGGACCGAGAGGCGAGTACCAGGGGTATCCTATCCTGAGTTCACGGCATCGGTGTGCTCTACTGGGCTCCTTTTCCCCTTGCTCTTCTGATGGGCCCGACTAAGTAACTAAACAAGTGAATGGAGGATACTTAGATACATGTGAGGATGCAACGATTACCGGATGGAGATGGAGGCTCTCTATTTTTAACCCTTCGGACAATGGTCACGCCAGAGATACATACATGTTCGCGGAATATAGCTGACAGGGGACAGATACATATACTTACCTGTCTTTGCCGGGCTGGGTATATATTCTGCAGTGCCGATTGCACAGCTACGGTTCATCCATCACGCCATGTTGCTTGCTGGCATATGATGGTGGTGTTCCTGGTGCTGCTGCTGCTGCTGCTGCTGCTGGTCGACATGACTGTGACCGTGGCATGGCCTGGCATGGCATGACGGCACTGGAAAGGTCAGGTTTGCCAGCAGTAGCAAGAAGAAGGGTACCTAAGTAAGTGAGTACCCCTACGATCACGCCATTTATGAACATCCACCTGCAAACGACGGAGTTTGGGGGAGAAAGAGAGTCGATGACCCCTGTCCTATATTACATTGCCGGATAGTTAATATATCTAGCGGTTGTGTGTTTCAAGAGGCCGATCACGCCGAGCACCATGAATAATAGTCTGTATTGATGGAAAAGAGAGGGTGGATACCTATTTGGTTGAATTAAGCATGCTTGGTCTCGGAGCGTTGTGTATGCAAAAATTGAACAGGGACTAAGTAAAGTGTGGTTAAATTGGTAGATGGGTTAGTCCCCATAGTCGTGCTCGCTCCAGGCGTAAACAATAGAAATGGTAAATGTAAGGAATGGGTTGTAATTAACAACTAGGATTAAGACTAACTACCCTTAGGCCTGGTTCGAGATCATTTGGGGGGGTATAAACTACATCAAGGCAAAAAAAAAAAGTACAGAAATAGGCAGCTAACACAACTAACATCTAGCGTACGAGAAGCAATTAAGTCAGAGGAAACGTAGCATGAGAGAGCACAGCAGACTAGAACAAGGAAAATACCCTCTCCACAAACGGTGGAGGAGCTGGGCACAGTGAGAGTGGGTGCAGGTGCTGCATGTGTTGCTCGAACAGTGCTTGCTGGCTTTCCGCCAGAGCTGAACAACTCAACTGATCGAGCTAGCCCCGTAGCGTGTGAGATATTAGGATGTTCCCTTTCACATAAATATTGAAATTCTTTCTTTCTTTCTTTTATTTTTTTTTTCTTTTTGTTGTCTTTTCCGAAAAAAGGAGTGACGTAAATGTCACTGGAGAATTTGCAGTAAAGGTCTTCGCTAGACACTAAAGAAATAAAAGTAGTACCGTATAATAGATATAGGCGCGATCAAAGCAAGGCCAAGGTATTTGCGGTAAGAGGGTCAACTCTTCGAAGTAAACGCAGGTAGGGAATAAAATAAAAGGAAAAAAAAGGAAGGAAAGAAAAGGGAGGCTGTAGAATGTAAGAAGGTAAAGAAAAGATAACGCCAGAGCCTGAGCGGCCGGAAACTAGTTTGTGTCATCAACGCATGAAAGGAGAAGGAAAAAAACAAGCATAGACAAGGTGATATCCGTCAAGATGAGGGTTCTTGGTCACCTCCTTCAAGGTAGCCATCGATAGTTTTTCGCCAATGTTGTGGCAGGCATACGCAGACGAGCTAGATGGAGTCGTTAGTAAATAGATTCAAATTAAGTAACACAAGGATGGGGCTAGGTTTAGACGAACTGGGAATGCTTTTATTTCTCCGGCAGTTGGCGAAGATGGAGGTCGTGCCTCTGACCCATGAGAGACACCGCTATCTCTGAGCGGACTGTGTTTATGCTTCGAGTCATAGTCCTCTGCTTTCTCGTTGACCCGGACACCTGTTGCCCAGCCGTCATCCCATATACCAACGACTTTCAGCATGTCACCTCTGTCTAGTTCAAACTCGTCAGGGGCGCGAGGTTGGTATGCCCAGAGAACAGATACTCTGTCATTTGGATGGATGTCATCCTGTGAATAATAGTCGCGGAAATAAGGGAGCTGCTCAGACTGGCCGCTGGCAACGCCTTCGGGAGAAGAGAACTGGGCACCACTGCCAGACTTGGGAGATAACGTGTCACCATCGCCAGCGAGGGCAGACGCGCTAGAAAGTGAGCCGTTTCTTCTTCCTGTGACGGGTGGAATACGCCTCGACTTGCCGCCAGAAGGGCTGTCTCCAAATACATCGGAATCCGAATCGTGGTATGCGTGACATGATGGTGGGTTACTACCACCTTGAAGAGCTGACATTCGCGCAACACGGCCTCCGGGAATGGGTTCGTATCCTTTCTGCTGCTTATTAGTTGAGCTGCCGCCAGCTGGATATGATGGAGCTGTTGCCATGGTCCGGGGAGGCGTAGGTTGGTTAAAAATGCTTTCAGCAGATTCATTACGTTTCCGTCTTCTCCAAAGGAGGAATAGGACCGCCAGACCGATTAAAAATGCACATCCCAATACTGTTCCAACGGCAATTCCGGCAATCTGTCCACTAGTTAAACCTCCGCCACCTGGTTTGTCAGTGTGCTTGGGAGCGGCTGTCGAAGTTGGATGCGGAAATAGAGGTGGCAGTGATGAAATTTCTGGAAGCCTGATGCCCTTGCAACGCTGCTCCGCATTGGCAGCGTAGCAGCAGGTATCAGTGCCATTGATTGAAGTCTGCGAGCAGAAACCGCACAGGCCAAGCAGATTTTCTCCAAACCCGCATTCGTTTGGCTCGTTATCGGTGCCAGAAATGCACTGTCCGGATAGCGAATTAGCTGGGATGGCGCAGACCGTGAAGTCTGCCCGTATTTCGTCCATGTGATTGCGTTTAGGGGACCGACATAGACCCTGGTTGACTGTAATTATCTCTTCACTGGTTGCAAACATTGCCTGATAATGACATGAATTAGCAATGTTTACTGTCGGATTGAAGATGAGAGAACAACTTACACAGCTCTCTGCACAAAGTGGTCTGGCGCTTCGTTCAGACAGACGACACGGCTCTTTTGAATTTTGTATTATTCCATTACATATTACGCTGGTCGTATATTGAGCATAGAGAGAAGATGTGTTCTTAAGGTTCAAACCTTCGCATCCGAGTATGTCCTGGTACCTGTCAAGGTGGAATGTGATCAGTCATTTGGATATGTAGTAAGAGGCACACACGAAGAATTAAAGAAAATCAACAAAGACCAGAGAAAAAATTGATAGGCGATAGGAGGACATACTTCATTTTGACATATTCATTGCGAACGTAAGAACTGAGTTTCTCATCGAAATCGTTGAGGTTGGAGACATATCGTAGAAAAGGGCTATGCATCAAACAAGATTTGTCAATCCCTGATTTTCTTTTCTCAAGAGTAACAAAGTAACCGAGGAACACGTACTATTGACCGACCAAGCGGTCATTGACAGAGATAGAAGCAGAACTGAAGGCGGGGCATTGCTTCGATCCCCTGAGCGAGATACAGTCCGTCGACATGTCGGAAGCGTCTTGTCTTTTTTGGTGCGGGTCCTTCTGTGAGCTGCTGACTGAAGATGTTTTTCCTGGGGCCAAAGTCGTCACAGTCACAGCAAGAAGACAACCAAGAACGAGGTAACGGCAGTTGTCATCGACATGAAGACGGAATGTGTAAGTTCCTTTGAGTTCAAGAAGAGCTTTTCTTGGGTGCGAGGATGTCCCCTGAAGCTTAATGAATGACAGAACAAGACCGACGTGTTGCTGGTTGACGTGGTGTGTTGTTGGAGTCGATGTTCCGGGTGGTGAAAAAAAGGGACCCTTTCGCGACAAGCCCTTTGACAGAAAACGAACGAGTGGACAGGCAAGTCTGCCGGCGAAAAGGGCGTAACGAGAGACGAAGAACCGAACGATTGACCGTGGATGCGATGTCGTAGCTGGAGTTGAAGTTGAAGAAAAGAGGAGGAAGACGAGAAGGGTCGACGCTTCGGGCGACGGGACCCCAAAGCGGTAAAGGGCAGTGGTATCTGAGGTGTATGGCGTAAGTTACTTTAGCGCAGCAAGCTATGATTGGCTAGTGATGCAGCCGCAGCCAATGAAAAATCGGGATTGGTGCCCGCTCTACGCCGTCTCGGGACATCCCGTCACGCCCCTGAAAGTCTCTGCAGGGCTTTGATACACAAAAAATACCATTATGTAATACAGATATCGATGTCAGCTGTCAGCTATTATAGGGGCAGCTGTAAGACCCTGCAGGAGTACTCTGTAGCGTTGGGGGAGATGCGCATATAGATGCTGGATGATGGGCGACAGATGGCAGCGATACGGGGATGGGATAGACAGACGCTGGCAGCCGCCAAGAGGAGATATTGGGAGAAGCGGAAAGGATGGGCGGCGGCCAGAGCTGGTTTTGACACTTTGACAAGAGGCAAAGCCTTGATTTACCAGAGTACACGCTACTGTGGGGAGTGGCTTCCACGTGATATACTCTGACTAAGCAGCAACGTCACTGAGCGAGGCGCAAGAAGAGGAAGAAGCAACATCGCCAGGCAGCCACCTTCAGCTTAATCTGTTACAAAAGGGACCACCGGAGCAGCATCAGAAGAAGAAAAGGAAGAGAAGCTGCGACACCAGATCGACTCCGTTTCATTTCCATCATGTGCTCGCCAGACGCCTTCCTGGCCATTCTGGCCATCCTCTTCCCGCCCATCGCAGGTACGCTACCCGTCCGCGCCCGCGCCCCTCTCAAGCGGTATATGGCATGATACTAACGGTTTCGGCTGGTTAAACCTGTAGTCTGGATCAAGGTTGGCGTCTGCTCTGCTGATTCTCTTATCAACATCGCCCTTTGCTGCCTGGGGTACGTCCCAGGTCTGCTTCATGCATGGTACATCATTCTCAAGTACCCAGAGGCAGACGACGAGCACCCAGATGGATACAGACCCATCGTTGGACACGGACAGCGTGGAGACGCTGAGGCGGGCCGAGTCACATACTACTACATCGCCCATGAGCAGGCTCACCCTAACCAGCACTACCAGCAACAGCAGCGCTCGTATGGCACCAATGTAAACTCCGAGTCAAGGGCTGCTCCTCCACCCCCAGTTCCTCAGAAACCACATCAGACCGGTGGCGTGCCAGATCAGGAAAGCAGCAGTAGGCCTGAGGGTGAGCACAGGGCTCCACCAACCTACGCTGAGGCTGTTAAGGGAGACAACAAAATCCAGTCTTAAATCGACCTAACCCGCCAACCGACTTTTAACATTTCCATATCCATAATGATGATGCCACTTCAAATGCTACTCGTAATCCCTCAGAGGAATAGGTAGCCTGTACTTTCTACTCTCGATTTCGTTCTTGTCCCCCCCCCCCCTTTTTCCCCCACGTGTTTGGCGTGCAGTTTCAGGATTTCGATACCTACACGCTCTGCAATCTCATTGCTAGATGCTAAGGCTGATCTAAGCCCTGGTTGACACGGGAAGGTGTTCGTGTTATGCTGTTGGTGAATCTTAGGGTTTGCGCTTTTTTTGTTTTGGTGTCCTTTGCTTGCCTTAAAACTCCTTGATAGAGCAACGAGGACGGCTTTTATAATATGAAACTCTTTTAGCTTTTCATTATACTACTTGCTCAAAGTATATGGAAATGCATAGTAGTAGCGGCAGTACTACTAGAAGAGCTGAGAATCTTCATCTGGCTGTTATGCATTTTATGCTGTCCTGAAACAATACATGCAGGATTGAAACAACAATGTTTACATTCTGGCAACAGTCCGCAGTCGACAGAAGCAAGATGACCGGATTGGCACATCCGCCAAGGCAACTGCGGTAGCAAGCTGTTGCGCAACCTTTGCCGCTTCATCTGCCCTTCCTAGAGCTTCCAGGCATTCATGATACCCATGTAATGCCCAGACATTATTCGGATGTTGCAGTGCTCGAGGCACGGTGTTATCAAGGCCCAAATCCGCACGGTACGCTGCGGCCGCCTCCTGAACATGACCCCGTTCAAGCAAAAGAGCACCATATGCATGTCGAACCGGTTGCATCCAACCCCATGGCTCATCATAGTGCAGAGAATCATATAGCTTTATGGAATGGCGTAGGTGTTCAAATGCAGTATCGTAGTGTCCGAGGCGATATTCTAGCTCGCCGTCTAGCATTGCAGAGGCAATGGCCAGGATGTCAGCGCAGCTATTATTGAATACCGTGCGAGTGGGCAGCACTCGTTTTACTGCGCTTCGGAAAGCTTCACGAGCCTCTCGTGCCTGATCAATTCTTCCAGTCGCGGCATATGCCACTCCCTTTCCATACAGCCTCATTGCCGTAGTCACGCAGTATAAGTACTGGTCTTCTGGTAGCTCAAGAGCGAGGATCTCATCCCATATTCCAAAGCGGATCATGACGTGTACCCGCATAGCAACGAAGGATTCCAGAAGATTCGCCATCTCGGTAGATTCTCGTATTAGCTGGTCAGGTATAGTTGCCTCCATCTGCTTAACAGTATCAACCGCAATTTTTGACTGTCCTGAGAACATGGCTGCATACACCTTAAAGTGGTAGTTGTGGCACCTATAGAGGGTGTAGAAATTCATCTTTCCATGTTGAGCAACGTACTTCTCATCGGCAATAACCGCATCTGAGTTTGATGTGACTGCACCTTGGTAATCACCGCACAAGATATCAATATGGGATGGCATATGGTTCAAGTGTCCAGAGTCAGGAACGAGCCCTCTTAAACGGTTAGCTGCCGGTAATGCCGATTCTGGTGAAGGAGACATCTCTAGGAGATGGATGTAAAGGTGAAGGAGCCCAGGGTGAGAAAGCCCGCCTTCTTGTGCCAAGGCACGATCGAGGATATCTTTGGCTTCCAGAGTGTGCGCTCCCTTTGCTGGATTTCCAGTCACCAAGTCCCATAGTTTCCATGGAGTCAGATTCATCAATGCATCTACGTAGAGCATCGCAACGTCCAGGTCGTCAGGAAATGCTTGATATACCAACTTCATCGCATCAGCATATCCTTTGTTCCATATTGCACAATCTTCCACGGGATAGTCTTGGGGATATCGATGTATCAAAGCCTTGGTTAAGGCCTTCTCAACTGCTGATACACTTGGCGTCTGTGCCTTCTCTTCTGCCTTTCTAGCAGCGTCGTGGGTTTTGGTCACCACATACCCCAGCTGTTCAGCATTGAAAAATGCCCACGGCATGTTATAATTGGGCCCAGAAGCGTACGCAAGTCCCCAGTGTGCCATGGCACAGTCAGGGTCTTCATCGATAGCTCGTTGGAAGCACGCTGCTGCTTCGTCATGGTTAAAAGCAAAGCTCCATATCAGCCCGCGGTCAAACCATACCTGAGCACCCTGGCTGCTCGTGCTAATGGGACGGTGATAGGCTCCGAGATTATAGTATCCGTCTTGCTGACTGGTAGCGGCGGCCAACTGCTTCTTTTCGTCTGCCATGCTCAAACGGGTCTGCTAACCGTGTTAATGGTGCGGTGGTGGGGGCTGTGCTAAAGAGTAGGCCTTCAGCATCTAAATGTATTAAAGATCTCTCAGATGATATGTAATAGACGGCAATATGGCTACATATCTTCCCCGCTGAGAAGCCATGTCGTTCGTCGTGAGAAAACGCCCTGTTGCCTTCGGGCATGGGTCTTTTCCATCCCATAAGGTTAGATACTACAGTCACGTGGAAGGAGAAAAGCTGGGGTCGTTAACTAAACGTTAGTTAAAGCAAATTGAACGAAAGGAACAACCAGCTGTATTTTTCTATCCACGGTTAATCAGAAGCTTCTTTTTCAGCAGGCCTTGTTTATGGTTTTTGAAAGGAAGCAGAGAGACAGTGAGACAGAGGGGGGGGGGGGGGAGCAGATGAGAAATGCAGTGCTCCTTGACTAGTTAACTAGCGCCAGCTTCCACTTCGACTTTGGCTTCAGGTTCAGGTTCAAGCTCAGGCTCAGGTTCAGGTCGAACTTCGGCGTCGGCTTCGGCTTCGGCTTCGACTTCAGCGTCAGCGCTATTATCAGAGGACTTGTCCTTCGCCTTCAACTGTGCAGCCGCCTCTTCTTCGGTCAGGAACCGGTATCCTCCGTCTGCAGTGTCATCTTCTTCCACCCCGAAGA